CCTTTCCTGGAACTCACTCTGTAGCCCAGGCTGGCCTTGAACTCACAGACTCCGCCTGCCTCTGCCTCCCGAGTTCTGGGATTAAAGGCGTGTGCCACCACTGCCCTGCTGAGAAGACACTTTTAAACATTCATTTCACTATGTTAGAAGACTTATTCTATTTTTAAGACATATCAATACTAGAGCATCCAAATTGAAGTTTGAGGAGACTGGGCATCTGCTGCTGTTGTGTGCATGATTCTCTGCAGGCCTGCTAGGCACCATTAGTTTTCTGTGCTGTTCATGGTTACCTTTCCTAATGTGGACATTGAAGCTTCCCTGCATCACTGTCTATTTGCTTGCTACAATTCTGTCATTGATTGCTTTATGTACTTGGAAACTTTTATAAAATACACTCATGTTGATCCCATAGCTTTCTGGAAATATACTATTTGATTATTTGTTAATATTCTTTGTTTCGTATATTTATAGGTTTGGTGTTTCCTGTTACCTGCCATAATTATGACCAACCCTCTTCATGGCAAATCTTTTTAAAAATTCCTTCACTCTTAATACTTTATATCCTTACATTTGAAGTAATACTTTTATAGAAAGCTTATGTTTTGATTTTAGGGTATTTTCCCTTTTTCTTTTGAAATTGTATCCTATTTTCAAGTTTGATTTGAGGCATATTAAACATATACATTTTCAGAAATCACTGAAGGAAAAAAATAAACACATACTATTTTGTTAAATTTTTTCTATTTGTTTTCCCCTTTTTTCCCCCCTTTGTTCTGATTTCATTGACAGTTTGAAGTATATTTCATTCCTTTATAAACTTGAGTAGTATCTTTGCTAAGTTTTCTTTTTCTTATTTGGTTGTTCAAGAAACTGCACACAATCTTGCCTTGTGTCTGAACTGAGTTGGATTCCCACTGTATCTGTGTTCTTTCTCCTGCATTGTCTCCAGTGTTCGTTATTGTTTAGGACCTTGAGTGTAGACACTGACTAGGCTGAGAGGTCTTAGTGTATGATAGATGAACATTTTCTTCATGACTAATGTGTGGAGCATGTGCTATTTACATTTTTACTATGTCAAAGCTTTTAGGCATTGTCCCTTTTTTTGGTTTCTTTATTGATTATAGTATTTTTTTTTTTGCATTCTTTTTAGCTTCTTGATAAAATCTGGGTATTTGTGTATTGTACTATGAAATGTTTACTAATAAATTTCTCCGGTCTATAGACTGTTTCTTCATACTTATAGTTATTTCTGTGCAATGGACAGAAATTTCACCAGTTCATTACTTTTCACCTATTTTCATTCCTTTATATGTGGATATTTACTGTTCCCTACAGCAATGGTTGACAAGGCTTTCTATTCTGTAACAAGTTTTTGGCGTTTTCATGAAATTCACTCTGTTACTACAGCTTGGATTGGTTCTGGATCTGCTGCTCTTACTGCTTTAGGCGTCTGCTCTTCTGCCGCTGCCATGGTGCTGATGTTCCTGTGGTCTGCAGTGCCTTCTGAAATCACAGCTGGGATGACTCAAGCTTTGCTCTGTGTGTCTGTGCTTGCTCTGCACTCTCAGGGTCTTCATTGATGCAGTGTTTTGAATGTAGAAGACATGCTTCTCTGTCCCTAATAAGGGCAAAATGATTCCAGCTGTCTTGTAGTTTACATTTTGTGCTTCATTGTCTTAAATATTCTGAGGTACATTCAATCCTATTGTTCTTACTTCTTCCAGAGCTTTTATAATGAGCAAGTGTGCTATTTTTCCTCAGGTCTTACCTAGATCTGTTGACATGATCAACTTTCTTCTCTCGATGAGTTCACATACATGGTGTTTTACATTGATCAATGCATAGGTGTTAAAATAGTTGTACATTCTTGGGATTAAATCAGCTTGCATTCCATTTCTATGTAATTTAGAGACAATCTCTGTGTCTACGTTGATCCTGGTATCTGGTCTGAGATTTTTCTTTGCATATACTTGTTTGGGTTTACCTGCTTTGGGTATTTGGCATCACCTACTTTGGGTTTTGAAGTAAAGCTAGCTTTGCATGATGACTTTCTGGCATTCCTTTTCTTTATTTTTCATGTAATGTTCTCCTTGTGGTATTATTATCAGGTTTGTGTAAAGGAAAGGAGAATTCTGTGCTGAATCTCTCCAATCTGCAGACACTGTTAGAGGAAACCCTTCCTGCTTTAGTCTCAGCACTACTTAATACCTTTCCTAGTTTTATAACTTAGAGGGTTGAATCATTCACTTGTGTATTTTTCTTCTTCATTTCAATTCTTTTGCATGTGACCATCCACAGTATTCTGTAAGTTAACTCTGATGCCATTGGGATACACTGCAATGTCCTTTTTTCATCTCTAGTTTTATTACTTGGGGATTCATTCTTTCAGTTTGGATTAGGTGAAAAATGGTTCATCAGTACTTTTGTCAGTTCACAGAAACAAGTCTGTTTTCTTGACTCATTGTATAGTTAGTTGTCTAGTCTATTTCATGAATTTCTATACAACCTTTCTAATATCTTACTGTATACTATTTCAGATTGACTTGTTCTTATTCTTGTAAGCACTGGGCCATATTATTATGGGCAAATATCTTTCACAACCAGCGTCAATTGATACCAAAACTTCTCAGTGTATCATTGTCACCCATTTCTGTGTCATTGTTTTTTATTAGCTGGCACTCTAAGAAAGTATCTTCAGTTCTCCATGAATTCTGTCTCACTGTTCATTGATTTAAGTTTCCACAAAAGCTAATTAAGGAAAAATAAACAGAGTGCTGCAGAGGTGGCTCCGCAGGTAGGGGCACTTGTTGTTCTCGAAGTTTCCAGGTTCAGTTCCATGTACTTGCATGGTGACTTAACTCAGCTTCCAAAGTATTTATTTGCACTCTTAATGGCTGATGCAGACACTTCATGCACAAGGTGCACAGACCTACCTGCAGGAAAATAACCATGCACATAAAGTTAAAATGCATAAATCTTAAGAAAAAGAAACAATAAATGATCTAGAGGTATCACCATAAGGATTCAAGATAGCAGGACAGGAAAGAACATGGAGGCATCACTGCTAGTGTGAGAGCAAGTATGGAGCCTGGATACATGATTCCAAATGGCTAAACTCAAATTAATGTCAAGCCAGTGATATGTATTGGTTTCTATTGTTATGGGAATTTCATTCATATGTATATTATGTGTTTGATCAAATTCACTCCCTATCTCTCAGCTCTAATTACCCAGTCCTGTGATAAGTCCTCACATCTCCATATTCACATTTTTTTTTAAAGTACTGAGTCCATGGCAGTCTTGCTGTATGCACATGAGCCACATCTCTGAAGAAAACTGACTCTGCCTCTTCCAAGGCTAAGAGTTGTCTATAATATCTCAGGTAGTCCTGTGATAATCCGTTTCACTTCTGCTGGGATTTGAGCTGGGTTAATCTTGGGCAAGTTTTTTGCATGCAGACACAGCTGCCATGGAATCAGGTGTACAGTGAAATTCATTTGACAGTTACGGAAACCAGTTCAGCTACGTCTGTGCTATAATTTCATCACAACCCTGAGTGCCATGGTGACATGAATAAACTCTTCATATCACAGCAGAATGGATCCATGGTGCTGTCTGGGGAAAGTCACCATGAAACTGGGCAATGGTGGGAACCACAGCAGGCATTCAGGCAACCATGGACCTTCTCAGGTCAGAGGAGCTTCAGTACTGGCAAACAGACAGTAACAGGATCAAGGGTGTGATCAGTTCACTGCTGCTGTTAATAAGTCATGGAATCTGATATTCAGCTATGGGTATCTTAATTCTCTTGGAAAATTTTAGATCATGTGAACTTATCCTGATGTTTTCATTTCATTTACAGAAGCATGATCTGGTACAGAATTTGCAAACTATGTTGTCTGCTAATCTAGTTATCTTTGCTATTGTGGCAGTTATAAACTCCTGGGATTTAAATTCATCTAATCTTTCTAACTCTCCTGTTTTACCATTTGCCTATTCAAGAGAGTGGCCTTTCCCCATGGCATCTAGGCATTCCTAGAGAGCTTTTTAGATATAAGTCAAATAAAATGCCACTGCAGATTTTATTGAATCAGAAAGTATATTTTAGCAAGCTTTACAGCTGTGGCTATAAACATTAACATTTACTAAGCAAACTATTTTCTCCAGTTGATTTTTCATCTGGGATTTACACAGGATAGGATGTAAATACAGCATTCAGAAATGTGTTTTCATGTGTGTAATGCTTAATATTCCATCCTAGAGTCTGGAGAAGTGCAGTATGCATGCAAACTCTGAAAGGATATTAGGTCACACTTTTTACAGTTATAAAAGGCACTATAGGTAGGACAAACTTAGAAGCATCTCTTAAATAATCTTCGTCATTCAACTCTATGAGCAACATTGGCTCCAATGGTCTATTGGCTCCTTTTTCTGAGAAAAGCACTCTTCCCATAACACATGACCAAAATGGCCTGGTGTTGCTTTATTTTGTTGACTAACTATATCACTCTATTGCTGTGTCTGGCTCAGATTTTACCACGTACAACAACCTAGTCCCACAAGGGATCTGCCTGTCTCTGCCTCCTGAGTGCTGGGTTTAAAGCAGTGCAGGAACACAGATGGTTCAAGTACTCATTTCTTTTGTTTTTAGTTTCATGATGTGTTGGCAGTCAGTGCTGTGACTGTGGACTACTCTCAGGAGGAGGGCAATGCTTGAACCCACTCACCTGGCACTGCACAGAGCTTGGATGTGCTGGAAGTGCAGCAGTCTGGTTTTTGTATGTGAGAATAATTCTTCCATTTTGCATTTCTCCTCCTCAGGATTCCAACTACTCTGCAAGTACGTGAGCTTTGTGTGAATGAGTCTCCTGTCGCACAGTGGAAAGTGAAATTCTCAGAGAAGAAAGTGTAACTGTTAGTGCTCTGAGGGGGAAGGTTTCTCCAGTGCAAGTATTTCATCTCTACAGGGGAAGGTTTCAACATTGAAAGTGTTACAGATCTAAAGGAGATCTTCCCATTGCAAGCGCTACAGTTCTGCTTCCACAGGGAAGGTTTCCCCAATGTAAGTATTAACGCTTGGAAGGGAAAGGTATTCCTGCAGGTGGGCAGCAAAGAATACCCCACGTCACACTGCACAACAAACTTAACACAAGAGGTTTATTGAGGGGTGAACCTAGGTATGTGTCTGCCTCTGCTCTGGCAAGAAGCATTACAGAACTGAGCACAAGATGGTTTACAAAGCATATCTGGGGTACAAAGCTTTCTGGGGTGGGGATTGGTAGGTTTTCAAGTCCAGAGCTTGTGCTTTGTACTCTGTAGGGCAGAGCTTGGGTGCCTGTATCTGTAGGCACTGTGTCTGCCAATTAGAGTGTTGTATGTATGGATCCTGGTGGTGGGAATTTCTCAGTGGTTGAGTCTGGCCAGTAGCATGCCTCAATGACCTTACTTTCCACCTGTTGTTTACTATTGAGATCAGGGATTGGGAAAGGTTGAGGACAATATCATTAGACTACTTCCTGCTTAATGGGTGCATTGATGTCCTATTAGTACCATCTGGGCCCTCACCATCAGGGTATAAGCCTCTCTTCATAACTAGGTAGTCCTGTAATAGCAATGTATTAAAAGTCTACTGAGAGATCTTTTGTTCCTGTTGTTGAAGAAGTCTAGATAAGTTTATAAGGCAGGGTGTGACTAGTAGGATTAAGAACAGGGGGAAAAGGAGGTTAAGAAGTTTAATAGCCAATTCCATATTGGGCTGTCAATGATTCACTGGCCAGTGGCTCAAGCTGTTTCTTACGTTTTTGGAGACCAGTCTGGAGTTGTCAGATCCTATCTTTTGCTATATCTGACTGGTTGTCACAGAAGCACCATTGCTCCTTAAGGAAGAGATAAAGATGACCTGTCTCTGCTGTTGGTAAATTTAATCCTAGCCAATTTTGTAGCACTATGTTGACCAGTGAGTCTGTTTTGCCTTGGAGGGTAAGGATGGTCTGAGCTACCTGTTGGAGTTCTGGAAAGGATTCTTCACCAAGTACCACTGTAGCATGAATCTTAAAGAGTCTTATTAACAAAAACAAACCCAAGACCAGTTATTGGGGTGAATGCTGGAAGATCAGAGAAGCAGAACAAGCCACAGCTACCTCACCTTGACAATTCCTCAGCTGATCCTGTTTCCTCAGACTGGAACCTTCTGAGTCCTCATCCAAAAGGATCTCAGCTGGATCACTGCTAAAAGCCTAAAAGCTTAACCAGCTCTGGTTCCTGGTCCTCATGCCTTATACACCTTTCTGCTTTCTGCCATCACTTCCTGGGGTTAAAGGTGTGAGCAACCATGCCTGGCTGTTTCCAGTATGGCTTTTTTTTTTTTTTTTTTTTTGGTTTTTCGAGACAGGGTTTCTCTATGTAGCTTTGCGCCTTTCCTGGAACTCACTTGGTAGCCCAGGCTGGCCT